AGAATGGAGATGACCCTGAGACTGATTTTGGAAACTATATATTATAAAAGGTCAAGCCTCTGTCAACTTATGCCCCTGACCCACTATATATGGAGGACCACTGCCATGCCAGCCTGTTGGCCCATTGATACTGTTACATAAGAATGAAATATACAATGTATGTTTGTTTCCAACAACAGTTTCCCTACTCCAACTATTTTAGGGACAATATCTGTCTTGTTCACCACTGTATCTCTAGTGCTACCAAAGTGCCTTGCACATGGTAGACACTCATGAACTATTTGTTTAGTGAAATAGAAAATAAAGTAGATTCTTAATATGTATTTGTTGAATAAGTGATTCTGTTTTTATATCTACACATAGAAAGTGCTGTATAATTTCTTTAGGAAAACTGAATAGACAGAAATAGTGGAGTTTTAACTGAAATGAATAACCAATTTGGCTATTTTGAAGTAATTATCTGCTTAATAACAATAGTCAAACAAAACAAATGGCAAAGTGCATGTGTAAAACTGTGAATCAACTAAGGCAGAAGGGTGTGTGGTCATATCGAACAAATATTGTGAAATCCTAGTCTATCACTTATGATGTATGTTATTCAAAATAAAATTTGCTTTCCAAGATGTACAATTATAGTATAGTCTTTTATGGGATTCACTGTTGCAAAACTTGAGAAAAAATAAAAATTTTCTATGGTGACGTTACTTTAAGTTCCCAGTTATTGGTTTTGTCTGTGTTGGGTGAGATGCCATGTTTGTACCCACTTGTGTCTGTTGTATCTATTTGTGTGTTTGTGAGAGGTAAGTGTGTGTGTATATGTATGTGTGTGTGCTTTTGGAATACTTGGTTAGTGGGAGTAAGGACTGGGGCCTGATCCACTTCCTCCCCATCATAAGGGCCATGGCTGACACTCCTATAACAAAAGACAGGTTGACAAGAGAAAAGCACAGAACATTTATTTGATCATAGCTTTTCATGACACAGAAGCCTTCAGAATGAAGACCCACAGATACAGGAAAAACTGTCCATTTTTATGCTTAAGTTATACAGCCAAGGACAGCCAACTAGAAATATACTTAGATAAAAAGGAGATGAGCTAATAAAAATAGAGTGGGGAAACTTAGTAAGGCCTCTCTGTTCAGATTCTTCTTAGCCTCTCTGTTGTAGCATTTCTTCCTCCCATATATGGGGTAGGAACTTTCTGGAATGAACGTGTTAATTTCTTTGTGGCCTGTTCTTACAAAAAGATGGGAGAAAATTAGAGTAATATATTTAGATTTTATGGCTGGCTTTGGGGAAAAGGGATCTGGTTTCTATGATCAGTCTTAAGGAAGAGGAATTCTAGTTTCTGTGGTTTGGCTCAGGGAAGAAGGAGGAGTCAGAGAGAGGAGGGCAGGAGAAGGTCAGAGAGAAATTTGGCTACCTCTGAGGCCTTCATATTAAGGAATCATTTTCTGAGCCCCAACACTGGAATCTAAGCGTGACCTAACTGTTGTTCAGAGCAGAGCTGATTGTATAAGAGAAACCGTTGGAAATTTGCAGCCTGCTTCAGCATTCACAGATTCACCATTGCAGAGTCTGGGAAAGATGCAGTTTCTGTGGTGGGAATAAAATAGGTTCTCAGCTGTTGGTGGCACATGTTTTGGTGAGAATGTGCATGTGTGGGGTTGTACACATGTGGGCCAGGAATGTGCACATGTGTGGCTTGGGAATGTGGGGGCTTCCAGTCTTGCAAGTGGCAGGGTGGAAGGTGTTGTGTCAGTTGGGTGGAGTGGCTTTTACTTTCCCTTTTGTCCTCATATGTTGTCTCTGGGAGAGAACACCACGCCCCATTCCCACACTCTCAGCTTTGGGGAGGACTCTGATTTTCATCACTGGTCTCTGTCTTGCATGTGTCCCATGTGTCCTTTTCTACAGAGTCCCAGTGGCCCAGGTAGTCTTAGGAAGGAGCAGGATGAAGGGAGGGAGGAGTCAGGGAGGCAGGTCAGGGCTTCCATGGGATCATGTGATTCTGTTGTCTGTGGGCAGCTTGTTGTTCCTGGTTAAGGTGTCAGTGGGGAGCGATTCAAGCTGCTGTGTGGTGGAAGGACCTGGAGAGTGTGCTGCTCACCCAGCTGCCATTTTTATTTATAATTCAACCCTGTTTCGTACTTGCTGTTTCCCAACCATACCCTATACTTTCCAAACTAGATGCTCACTCTGCAGGGTAGAACCACCTTTTCCATCTGTAAATACTCTATTTTCTTCATAAAAAAAGAATATTTTGCTAGTTGCTTACTATGTGCAAAGTCTATTACTTCTATTTTTCCATTTAATCCTCATGAATATTCTATTCAATAATTCTATTATTATATTCATTTTATGGTTGAGAAATCTCAGGCTCTGAAAGTTTTAAGTAAGTTAGCTTCAGCCACAAATCTAGTAAGTGTCAGAGCTAGAGTTTATGCCTAGAAGCCTGCCAAACTGGTTTCTGGTATGTTCTACTTTGTGATGTGATGCTTCCTTCATGAAGCTTTTCTTGATGTTCCCAACAAGATGTGATCTCTTCTTGCAACTTCCTCTGCATTCTATTCATGCTTCTGTCATGGTAATCATCATATTCTCTACTTTATTATAAATATTTGTATTTCCCTGATGCAGATTATAAACTCTTTGAGGGCGAGGACCATTTCTACTCATCTTACTCTCCCCTTGAATGACTTTAGGAAAGTCACTTGACTTCTGAGGTAGCCCACCTCTATAGTGTGAGACAGTAGGACCAATTAGGGCTTGTCAACTCAATTGAGCCTAAGGATCAAGCATGCAACAAATAACTGAGGTGGTCTGTTTGGCTGTGATATACTGAAGAGTGCAGCCCTGTTTAGAGAGAGTGACAGCTACTCAGTCCCTATTGATTGTGGTCACACTGGAATGTAGACCTGGTGTTACCTTTTGAATTTACAAAAGAAATATGAAAATCAGATTTTATAAAAGTGGTATCTCTTGATTTTTAAATATCAGATCAATTAAAATGCAAAGTAGTCCTATGTGGGCTAGATCTGGGCCAATGACTGGCCAATATTCTTTCTATGACTCATTCAAGCTCTTGTTATTTAGAATAATGACTCCATGTAAATAGATATTCTAATACCAACTTTTTTCTGGAAATCAATGCTATTATAAGTACTATCTTCTATAATGTTTAAGGGTGAAAAGTAAAAGGGGGAAGATATAGCAAAACGCCAAGGTTTTACTAATATTTTGGAAGAACAAAGATATATTTTAAAAAACTTATCTAAGAGCTTTGTTCTATAATTATCTGTGTGTATATTTAGAAGCATAGTAGACTTTGTAATTTGCATACATACTATTGAATAGATATATGTTTATTTGATATATGGAATTTACATGATATTTTAAATTGATATACATCTACTTCTGAATTTATAGAATATATAAATTTGTTAGAGATTTCTGAAAAATTTTAAAAGTCTCATATTCAATTTTAGCTGAAAAACATGGAAAACTGGACAATGAACTCATTGTTTTGAGAGAATCCAATTCCCTAAACTAGCCAGACCTTGGAAAGTAAATAGTTTAAAATTTTTTTCTGCCTGTGCTAGAATTTGAAATGACTGCTTAATTTGTTTTGGTCATATCTTGTATGCCAGGAATACTTTTGAGAAGTTACATGTTGACAAGAATGAAAATGAACTAGATCAGCCCCTTCCAGTACATGGAAACAATATAAACTCTTTTCAAGTTTTATTGCAAGAGCTCTGAGTTTCCCGGGTCACCAGAGACTTATACTGAATATCAGTCTTGATTAACATCTAAAAATAGGTGTGAAGAACTCACTCTGGACATAGCACAGCATGAAGTACTGAAGGGATATTAAAGACAGGTAACATTTACAAGGGTCCATAGTTTAGTCAGTTTCAAATAAGAATGAAAATATTTGGCACTATTTCATCAGCTTCTCAAGATTACTCAGGAGAATATAGGAATTTCCATCCTGGATTGGCATTAAGACTAGGTTGGACATCAATCTAAGACATACATATTTTCTTTCTAACTTTGTTGGTGTTCTGTGTTACAACTTCTTTGGGGGTAGAGTAATAAGTATATTATCTTAAAAGAAAATAACTTTATACTGCTTTCTTTTGGAGTTTCTTCTAGGTTGTAGGTTGCAGTTTTAGCAAAAGTAAATAGAGATGGTTATATATTAGCCAGAAGAATGACCACAGGCAGAGAATTAATACAATCTCATTGACATTCCATAGATTAGAAAATGTTGGAGCTGGAAGGGACTTTAGCAGTTTTTTAGCAATTGTCCTAAACCTCTTAGGGAGTTAGACTAGTTATCTCCAAGACCCTTCATAGCTCACTTGACAAACGGGACAGCTGAGGCCCAGGGTCAAAGTCTATGTTTACTATAGACCAATCTCTCAGGGGAAAGGGAGCTGACTATTAAAATACCAAGATGAATTAGGGTAACAAAAATTTGGCAACAATTCACATAGCATTTTAAATAAATGAGCAGAATTTGCCTAGTACTTGAGACTCTAGACATAAATTCTCTAGCATATCTTTTTCTTTATTCTTAAACAAATTCTATCATATCTTGTGTATCTATGTAGAAAGAAGCAAACCAAAGAAACCAAATGCCCTTAGCTCACTGTCTAGCTTATTATTGGCACTCCATATATGTGTTTGGTGGCCATAGGCAGTGATGATTGTCACTGTAGATTTTTTTTTGCATGTTTCTAGTGTAGATGTTTAACTACTGGCAGTGGAATAACTTTGTGATATTAAATGTTCTTTGACTGAAGCCTACACTTGTTTTTGAGGCAGAAATTAATTGAACAATTCATTTTGATAGTTTTTTCAATCACAAAACTGCTGTAAAAGGTTATATTTGACTTTGATATAAGTTTTACTAGATATATATAATAATTAGTTTTTTATCTGGGATTTCATGTCCTACCAAAATTAAATAAATACATAAAACAAATACATACATAGAATCTCATCAAACTTTAGACTTCCTTCGCCTGTTTAAAGGGTATTGAGAGCTGTCAGAGAAGAGAATGAAATTTGTGAGTATTGATCTCATTGTTCAATACAGCTGGGAGTAGGAAACAGGTGGTATTAAGTTTTAATCTTTCTCCATTCACACCAGAACATTCATCCATATGTTTTTTTAAAAAATATAAGCAGAGGAAGTGGTATGCACTTTAACATTAATGGTCACGGTATTGATGGTGACTATTTCATAAGAGCCATTTAAATATTATGAACTTTATTTTTATGTTCTTCCTTCACATACCTGTTGAGATATTCTCTTACCAATAGTATTTTCATTATATTCTTCTCTTGCTTAAAAGCCTATAGAGAACGCCTATAGCTTTAGTGGTTACAAGTGGGATATCTAGGGACAGAAGGTCAGGTCTGAGTCTCTACCTTCTGCTAGCTGTGAGACTTTGGGAATGTTATTTATTTCCTCTGAAGCTCAGTTTCCTTATAAATTAAATGGGGATATATATCAAAACTTCACTGATAGTATGGCTGTTAGGGATAAATGAGACAATGTTTAAATATCTTATCATAGTGTGTGGCATGAGGTAAGCCCTGGTACATACCAGGTATTCAAGTGCTTGAAAGGTAAAATGTAAATCCTTCAGCCTACCATTCAAGAACTCCCAGCTACTGTCTGCCATATTTTTCCCAAGCATCAACACTTTTAGTTTATTATGGCCTGGTTAGGATGGTCCCTTTGTTATAGCCAAACTAATTTTCTTTCTGCCCCTCTACACTACTCAGCTTCTCAATCCTGTGATTTTACTCCACAGAAAGGGTTGTTTACTCTTCAATGTCATAATATTTTATTTTATTTATTTCAGAATATTTTGGTGGTACAAATGTTCACCTCACATATATTGCCTTTTCCCCAACCGGGTGAGAGCTACAAGTGTGTTCATCCCCCAGATGGTGCACACTACACTCATTAGGTGTGACTATACCCATCCCCACCTTCCCCCCACGTGCCTGACACCCATCAAATGTTACTATTATATGTGCATATAATATTTTAATTACTTTCATAATCTTGCTCAAAACTCACCTTTTCCAGGAAATTGCCAAATTAACCCCATCTGATTTAGGTCCCACCATTATTCTGGTGCCTCTTCTCAGCACTCATGTAATCAGTTTGCATAATACTTTATACCTGCAGAGATATAGCTTTTATTGTTCTTGAGTCATTTTCTGTATATTTTACCCCCTCTATTAACTAGTTTCAAAGCTTTTCCATGGCAGTGAGGAATGCATCTCTTACTTTGTGATACCCTTCCCATATCACTTGTGGCCCCTAGCCTCAAGAACATAATTTCAAATACTTGCTAAATAAATGAAATAAATGATATGTAATGAAATTGCATTTTGCAGCTATGAAAAGCAAAACATCAAATGAATGCAATTTCATGCCTATGATCTAACATAGTAGACTGGGTGTTCTGACAATGAACAGATATTTGTGATTACTTTTGTATTTTATAAAATGAAGATGAAAGAAGAAAATGTATCATTGTGTGACTGCAATGGCAATGGTTAGCATAACAAATATCTCATTACAAAATGTTCTACTGTCATAGGAACATTTTTAATTGTTCAAATTAAAACAGTGATGTAGCTATTGTGACCTTGTACATGTCAATTAATATCTCAAGTGCTCAGTTTTTCCATCTGTAAAATAAATGAAGGGTTGGATTATATTATCTGTTCTCAATTCTATCATTTTATGGTTTTTAGATTACATACTTCAGCCTATGTTGGCAAAGTGGCAACATGTGTATGATGTGAATTCTGAGGATATGATATCTTAGTAGTCACCAACTGGTGCCTTTTGGGGGGTTCCCAAAGTATATATTTAATATATGTGGCTTCTGTCTTGGGTGGCTAACACTATGATCTATTCTCAGAGAGACCAAATGGGTCTAGGGCTAGGATAAACAAAATTCAACATTTTTAAGGAAGCTAACAATGATGAGACAAAGAGAAACTGAAGAAAGAGTGTTTAGTTCAAGAGTAGAATGAAACTTACATAAAATAGGGCCAGCATTTATTTTGCCAAGAAGTAAAGATAAGTAACTTTCCTCACACCCTTTCTCCCCTTCATTTACCTCCCTACACCCCAGGAATCCTCCCCTTCTCTGCATAGAAAAGAATTTATCATTAACTATAATTCATGACTCAAAGTCATCATAAAATTGCTATTCTTAAGCACAGAGAGTTGTCTATTTTTTTTAAAAAAACAACATGTAAAAATTGTATTAACACATGAAAGTAGAAAGACATGTAAATTTATACCAAGTAACACAAATCACTTGCAAATCTGCCAGTGCCCTAGGTGAATGAGATTAAAGAATCATAAGAGACTAATGAGGAATTTATTCCCCAAACACCAGACCAGATTCAAAAGGCAGACTATATTGATTCATCTAGTTTCATTGAAACATTTGTTCCTAATGATTGAGTGAAAATTACTTATTCAAAACATCTCCCACCATGCCATTTTTTAAAAATCAAAACTTCTATATCATTACTAGCTTATATTTTTCATGAAAATAGAAACTATTTACATGTATAAGTGAAGATATGGAGAATATGTATGGTATAAGAGAAGATCTTCCATAATGGGAACCACTTTTTAAAAAAATGTAGTTTTGTCATGTAACAATAAAACAATAACACAACAACCTAAAATGGCTTTTAAAGCAGGCACTTTATGTAGCACACTGAGCATATAAGTCTCCAACAAAGAGATTGTCTAAAATCGATAACATTTATCTATCCCTAACACATCAAATATCTATAGAGACATGTACCCTCAAGGTACAATGAATGTAGCTCAAAGGAAAGAGAAAGAAGCAGCCTGATAAATTTCTATGGGATGTTTTACACCCTCAAAGGGACTACAAACCTTCTACCAAAAGACAGAGAAAAAGGACAAGAGTCACTATAAGTCAAGAATATGTGTAGTTAAAGTGAAAGTGGAAGGGTAAAGAATTAAAGTCAGAGAGTGGAATACTGAGGTTAAAGATTTCTGATGTAGACCAGTTGTGGAGGATGACAAGATAGAGAGGGCTACCATGGCAGTGGATAGGCAGAGTAGGGAGGAAGTGAATATCACAGGAGTTAGAGGCTTAAGAAATTTAAATGCAAGGTGCTAGGGGAACTGACTATTCATAGGAATCATTACTAATTGAATAAATAGTGAGGGCCTATTGTGTTGAAGTATTGTGGAGATATAGGCATAAATGAGGAAATATAGTTCCTGACTTCATAAAATTTCTATTGTAGCAGAGGACATAGATAGTTAGGTACTTGCAATAAAGCATAATGAGTGTTACTTTTCAGAAAACAAAGAAATACATTTAGGCAAGGGAAACCTCTCCTCTCTGGTAGCAAATGATAATAGGATGTATTCTGCCTTGGCCCATTATTTTTCTATCATTTTTCATGTCAAAAATAACTTTCAGAAAAATATGGTTATAAATCCCAGTTTACAGATGAAAATAAAATAGATTCAGAGAAGTTAGGTGATTTATTCTAGGTCATATAGCTAGTGAGTTACAGAACTAGGATTCATAGTTGCAGTCCTTTTATGGCAATGTCAGGTGACTACGGCCTATCCTTCCAGTGGATTACAACTGAAAAATATGAAAAAGCACAAAAACAGCTACCTAAGAACTCTAAAATGTTAATAAAAAGAGGAAGATAATGAGTAGGAGTCAAAATTTGGAGAAATAACCTGCATGGAAGTAACTTTCCCGTTTTTTTTTCCTTGTGCTATTTTGTGCCAAGGTTGGGTCTCCGTTACATAGTGCTGTGGTGATGTTGGAGGTTAAAACTCTGATAGAAATCTCATGAACTTTCTGGCCAGAGGAATAAGGGAAAGGAACACCACAAGGCTGGAGAATGCAAGAGGAATCACAAAGGGAGAAAGCTGGAGAACGGGTCTTCTATTCTTCATAAATCGCAGCTGATACCCTGAGCTATTCATGCATAGGACAGACCATAATGAGCAGAATAAAGGCTTTGAGAAGTGAAGTGAGATCAGAACTACGTGCATGAGACAGATGTAGATAAGCAGAGCAGATTCTTAGAGGAATAAAATAGCAACTTTATGAGGTATAATTTATTTACACACTACAACATTCACCTGTTTTAAATTTATAATTAAATAATTTTTAGGAAATTTATTGAGTTGTACAACCATCACTATAGCTCAGTTTAGAACATTTCCAGCACCCCAACAAGATCCTTTTTCTTGTTCATAGTTAATCTCTATTCTCATCCCTCTCCCTAGACAATTACAAATCTGCTTTTTTTTCTCTGTAGATTTGCCTTTTCTGGACATTTCATGTGAATGGAGTCATACAATATGTGGTCTTTGCATCTGCCTTCTTTCATTTACTATGTTTTTTTAGGTCCATCCATATTGTAGCATAGATGGGTATTTTGTTATTATGCCTGAAAAATATTCCGTTGTTTGGCTGCTTCACTCATAGAAGATTTGAATTACCACACATAGAAGGCAAGACATAATTTATGATCTGAGCCTAACAACATGATTATCTGATGAAACCAAAGCATCAACATTCTCCAGAGGAGTACAACAGCATCCAGCATCTAAACATAATAGTCAAAATGTCAGAGATGATCTAAACTGGGCATACTAAAAGCCAGGAAAAATGTGACCAGATATCAACGAAGAAAATAATCAGAAGATATGAACCTTGAGAAAACTCAAGTGTTGGAATTATCAGACAAAAACAAAAACAAAACAAAACAAAACAAAAAAAAAACACACTTGGAGAAGACAGATAAATTTTCTCAGCAGAGAAATAGAAATCATGAAAAGAACCAAATGGGAAATTTAGAACTGCAAAATACAACATTTGAGTTAAAAATATTTACCAGATGATTTTAGCAGTAGACTGGAGATGACAGAGGATAAAGTCAGTGAATTAGAAAATAGGACAGTAAATATTATCCAAACTGAGGGGCACTCAGATAAAGAAGGTGAAAAGGTTGAACAAATGAACAAGCTTCAGGGCCCTTTGAGATAATATAAAAAAAGTCTAACATTTATGTCATTAGAGCTTCAAAAGAAGAGAAGAAAGAGATTAGTGCAGAAAATAATATTTTAAGGAATGATAACTGAAAACTTTTCACATATGGTAAAACATAAATTAACAGATTCAAGAAGCTCAGTGAACCCCAAACAGAATAACTCAGAGATAACCATGCCTAGATACATCATAACCAAACTACTGAAAACCAAAGATAAATTTAAAAGTCTTAAAAGCAGTCAAGAAAAAACATCCACAGATCTGTGTATCTGTGGATTTCTCATCAGAAACTATGAAGGCCAGAAAATGGTGGGACAACATCTTTAAAGTGCTGAAAGCAGAGAACTGTCAACCTAGACTTCTGTAGCCAGTGAAATTATTCTTCACAACTGAAAGTGAAATAAAGACATTCTCAGAAAAAGGGAAACTAAGAGAATCTATCGCCAACATGTTTTACAAAAAAATTCTAAAGGAAGTTATTTAAGATAAAGGAAAATTATACCAAAAGGAAACTGGAATCCTCAAGATTGAATGAAGAGTAACAGAGATGGCAAATATATGGATAAATATAAAAGACTATTTTTCTCCTAAATTCTTTTATCTATATATTTCTATTGAAATCAAAGGTATAACATTGGAATTTCTAATGTAAGTAGATGTTAAACTTAAAAATATAACATAAAAGGGAGTGTTACAGCTCTTTTAGAATTTGTCTAGCAGGTTTTCCAGTCCTCATTGGAAGACCCCTCAATGCAAAAAAAAAAAAAGATAAAAAGATTACATAAAAGGGTAAAGAAGAAGCCTATATGGTTATATGGCTTCTATATTTTACTTGAAGTTTTAAAATATTAATGCTTAAGTAAACTATAAAAGGTTAGTCGTATATATACATATAGGTATGTACATATGTATATATGCATATATGTATGTATATATGTGTATACATATATACACATATATAAATCCCAGAGGGATGATTAAAAATATAATTCAAAAAGAAATAGCAAAAAAAAGCCAATATGTAAGTTGAAACAGAATAGTAAAATATATTCCACTAATCTGAAAGAAAGCAGGAAAAGGGTAAAAAATGAAC